ACTTTCATGTCGAATTGTTATGGAGAAAAACCTGTCTGCGTAAACTGTATGAAAAAAAAACTGATTTTGAGAAAAACGGAAAATAAGTATTAGAAGTCGATTTTTTCGAAAATCACCTGATTTATATATCAATGTTCAAGACGGGCTATAAATGTGTGATCTTAATATTACGTGTTGATAGTCTCTTAGTGATTAGTATACAAAAAAAACTTTACGAAATGCTGATGCAAAGAGAAAGCAACCTAAAAAGTCGAACAAGCTTGAAAAAAGCCGTGAAAATTTCTCAAAAAATATGATAGCAGGAGCGAAGTTTTAGACAATAAGTTAGTCAAAATCAATTCATTTTTCGATAAACTATAGATATTCTGAAAGAGGAGACTTCGGTATATATTCCTATGATTAAACTTCAATTTCGACTCATGTTCGAAAAATTGAGTTTTCTAAGGGAAACCCCCTTAAGTGGACTTGGATAAAGACGACGAAAAATTACAAGTATAGCAAATAAACATGATGATGATAATAATTCAATTAATGGACGAGTACTTAACAAATATATATATATATAATTATATACTTTATTTATTAATATTAAAAATCAAATAAGAAACCTTGTTGTTTGTTGTAATTGTTCATAAAATAAATGAAACAATGATGGATATTTATTAAAGAGTTCTCTTGATGACATACTGTTTTTTTTCGATAAATTTTCTCCTCCATCTTTTGTTGCACTATTTCTTATCATCCATATTGATAATGTAAAACCAGTTATTGATAAATGAAGACCATGTTCAATATATCGATAAACATCATTTGAAAATCGTTGATTACGATAAAATGAACGAACTGTAGTGTATGTATGAATCTATTTTTAATATTAGATAATTATATTATAGATTTCTTTCGATTCATTAATCAAGTTTTATATAACTTTTCCGTTATTACATGAAACGATTACAACTAATATCATATGGAGTAACTGCAACCAGCCCCGTGATCAGGAAGAGATTATAACAAGTTCAATCGTTTTGACTGATATTTTCGATTAAACATATCATTCGATAAGTTTTGATTTCAACCGCATATATGAGATCGCTCAACATTAATACAACAAATTTCAAATGAAAACATTAGTCTTAATCTCTTTTTAGGGTGTGGGTGTGGGGTGTGGGTGTGGGTGGGTGTGGG